TGAGAGGGCATATGTTTCTTAAATGAAGAACAAGATTTTATTTTCAGAGAAAAAAAAAAAAAAAAAAAAAAAAAAAAAGAGGTGCTTTATCTTTGCAACTTTCATCATTTCCTCTCTTTGCTCTTCCTGTGTTTAAGGAGAGAACTATTGAGAGTCCCTTTTGTCTGGACTGTTGTCATTCTGGTTGCGGGGCCCTGTTCTTAGGACTTCTTAACTCCAGCTCCAAGGTTATCATCTCAGCAATGTCTGGATCAAAGTTGGTCGTGGTCTCAAAACCTTGTGCTTAGAATCATTACTTCTCTGCATGGTCATTGTTTTTTATCTGACTCCTTATTTTACCACTTCCAGGTTCTCTTTTCAGACTGTGACAGAATGATTTTCTACTTGTCCCTTAGTTCTTAAAGTGACTTCTCGGTTTGGATCACTATGCCTGTTTTGGTGGTGGTCAGCTAAGTCTTTTGAAGATTTATTTGTTTTGGTAATTTATTTGCACTCCACATTCCTCCTTAATCTAACATTCATTTCCTTCTTAAATTTTTTTGTGTAATAGTTTGGATATATTCACTACAGTTTAAATTCTGTGATAGCAGCATCCCCTCTCCCCAGCATATTGCCCCATTTAATAGCTATTCAATCACTGCTTACTTCTGTTTGTAGTGTAAAGGATACTGTGATGAGACCCTGGGACTTGGGCTCAGTTTCAGTTTTTCCTTTGCAAGATATGCAGTCACTTCTATAGCCAGATCACAGTCTCCTCATCTGTGAAGTAAGGGTATGGCTATGGAGATTTATGAGGTTGCTTTCAACTTTATGAGGCACTATTTGGGTCTGACTAAGACAGTAGCCAGTCAGTTGGATACCATGATTTTCTTTCACAACCTCAGTTGACTCTACAAGTTCCTGCCTTGGGTTGGGAATGGCTGGCCCATTGCTTTGCTGCGGAAGCTATGCCAGAATCCCGAGTCATCTCCTTTGGGACATCTAAGAGCAGTGGTTTTCAAACTTCTTCTGGAACAGTTGAATTACCTTCAAAGGAAGAAAGAATTTAATAAATTCCTTGTTATGTATAGAGAAAAGCTATGTTTAATGGCTAGAGAGCTGGAGAGTCTCACAAAGTAGTTTTTATAATTTGAGAAGGTATAGAAAGAATTCCTTGGCCTTCTTGACCTGCTTTATTCTTAGACCTTGTTCCTCTTGTAGCATCACCTACTCTTTTTTTTTCTTAAAATTTATTTATTTATTATGTATACAATATTCTGTGTGTGTGTGTGTATGGCCAGAAGAGGGCATTACAGATGGTTGTGAGCCACCATGTGGTTGCTGGGAATTGAACTCAGGACCTTTGGAAGAGCAGGCAATGCTCTTAACCTCTGAGCCATCTCTCCAGCCCAGCATCACCTACTCTTGTCCTTGCCTCCAGCCACACAGATACTAGTTCACTTCATAGACCATTTCAAATTCTCTGTAAGGATTTGAATGGCTATCTATAGTCATAATCACAGTAGTATATAGTGTTAGTTCCTTTACCTTTTTCACCCCCTCCCCACACCATCTGATTGCTATTAAAAGACTGGAGATTTTTCTGTGATAATTAAGATACCAGGTGGAGAGGTGTCTTTTTTAATTCATTTGGGTTTTGTCACTCTTTGTTGCAGTTTCTTCTGATGAAATAGCATTACAATTAGTTTTATCAACTCTGTGACTGATTACCTGACAAACAACTTTAGGGTTCATTTGACACATTATTTCAGTATTAGCAGAGCAGAGCAGTTTTTGACACAGCAACCAGGAAGCAGAGTGGACGAATAACATGAAGGGGCCAGGGCAAGATACTGCCTACAGGATACAAGGCGAGTGTTAGATGTCCCCTAACCAAGTCCCACCTTACCCTATCCTAGCACCTCCCAATAGTCTTTTGAGATTTGAATTTTGTTAATGTGTTAAGTCAGTGGATCAACCACAGAGGCCTCTATATAGATGTCCTCAAAGAGCTCTCCAGAGCTGTGCTTTGTTTTAATCTCATGAATGTGAATCAGTCAAGTTGATTGATTAAGCAAAATTAACCATTGCAAATAGCACGAATAATTGTAGTTCATGGTTAAAAATCTTTCAAAGGGGATCTCAAGATCTTAATGCTTAAATTTAGTAGTGAAAACATTTAAGGAAACAAGAACACCTATTTTAAAACACACTGAAGACCAATATCTTTCATGAACATAAAAACAGTCTTAGCTCATAGCATTTCATTTTTAGTATCTAGAGGTCTGTAATGATGCTCCTGCTTTTTGTTCTTGGGATTAATAGGTGGAGGGGTTTTTACTTATTTTTTTAGTGTGTGTATGTGCATGTGAGCATGTGCATGTATGTGTGTATTTTTAAAACCATTTTTGTCAGGTGTTTTAACTGCTGTGTGTAAAAGAATTGGTTTTTGGTTTCAATACTTTCCTCCCATTTTTCTGCTTTCCATTTCATTGTTCTCAGCTCTTAGTTATTACTATTTGATTATTCCCTTCTTCCCTTCTAGCTTTAACTATATTTTGCTCCTTTCTAGTTTCCTTAAGTAGAAACTCGGATCATTGCTTAGGGGTCTTCCTTTGTTTCACATAGAAAGAATTAATGCTATACATTTCCCTCTATGCACAAGTTTAGCTGTATCACATTTTGACATGCTATATTTTTATTTTGTTCAATTCAAAATTGTTTTCTTTACCCATATGTTAGAAGTATGTTTAATTTCCAAGTAATTGGACATTGTCCTTTTGCCTTTCTGTTGTTTTTGTTTAAGTTCATCATGAACAGAAGCCATACTTTGTATTAGTTTAATTATCTTGAATTTATAAGGCGTTTTCAAAGCATAGTCTATCTTGTTAAGGGTTTTGTTTTCCTTTTAAAGAATGCATATTCTGTTTTTGTTGGTTTGAGTGTTTTATAAGTAATAGGTTCAGTTTATTGGTAGTTTCCTATTTCTGTATAACTGAGGGTAGAATATTGATTTGTTCAAATAGAGTTGTGCAATAGAAAACTCAATTGTTAGCCTCATCTAGTTTTCAACTTGATTTTCTTTGGGATTATTATAGATTAATTTAATTCAACTTTTGTGATTATCCTATATAAGGTAATAATAATATATTTTGAAATCGTGGGTTTATATAGCTTTGAAACATTTTCAGTCAATATATTGTCAGCTTTTTTTTTCTCAACTGAACTGCACAGTATCCTTTCTCTCCACCTCTCTCCTGTGCAAAGTGGCAGACCTTCTGACATTTGAACCTTTATTTTGCTTTGTTTCAGATAGTTTATCTCTTTACTGTTCAGATGAGCTAACGTTTAGATCTGCCAGATTTTGTTTATTTGGTTGTTAGGTTCTCAAATTTTCAACAGTTCTTCCTTATATCTTTCTACTTTTCTGATTGGCATGTGTTATCTTTTTGTGTTGAATAATACTAATTTCATCTGGGATATTTTGAGTATTATGTTATGAGACTAGATCTTATAGAGGATTGTGTTTTCATTTTAGCCCACAGTTGACAGTTGACAGGGTTATTAGTCCCCAGGAGCAATGGCTATTTTACCTTCAGTAAGCTGTGGCCAGTACCATTTGCGTGTCTGCTGTTGATGGCCAACCTGGAGTCTCAGCAATTCACTGCCAATTCTTTGGTAGGTTATTTCTGATGAGAACTACATGTCCAAGCCTGAGATCTAGGCCTTGGGCTTTATAAACAATTAAGAGGGTGGTTAGTTTCCTAAGCTCCTCCTTCTTGATGATTTTTTTGAGATCCTTCCAGTTCTACCATCTTTTTTAATTTTAATTTTTAATTATTTATATTTTTGGCATTTGACCAGAAACTTTGGACTTTAGTTGCTGTCTTCTGGCATGAACTGCACAACAGTGTCTACGTTTCTGTAGCCAAATGACTGGACAACAAACCATAATGGGATTCAGCCCCACTTTCTTGGAACCATGGTTCTGCTGAACCCAGAGAAAGGTTTTGTTTTAGCCTTGCAGACTTCTCTTGGGGCTGGCTGTCATCTACACCGCTGGAATACTTGGGGATAGAAGCCTGAGACAGCAGGGGGAAGGAGAGCAATGGATGCTACAAATATCAGCAATTCTCTTTCATGGCTATAGCCAGAGAACTTTGGGCAGCTCATCTTTTTTCCCTCTGCCAGCAGCCAGTGTCTGGCAACAGCGTGTTAAGCCTGGACTTGGGCACACACATTGTTGTTGGTATTTCAAGTTCTGGTTGTCTTTCCTAGGGCTGCCGCTACTGTTGACTTTGCAGAGCCCTCATGTAATTGCTCCAGGTTTTGTAATTGTAAATCCTGGTTAAGACAGGGGACAGAGCGTGCTGATTGGGAGATTGACAATGGTGTGAGACATATGGAGGACATGAACTACTCCTTGACTCTAACTCTCCCAAGCTTTACATCTTTGCTTGAAAAGCATTTCTACAATCTACATTTTAAAAAAAATGGGTAAAGCTGTGGGTACTGCTATCCCCAAACATCCCTAGTCCATCAGCCCATGAAACAAAACCTTAAAAACCTCACTGGAATGGATAAGTTTGTTATTTTTTTAATGTCTCTTACCTGTTCATTTAAGCAAAGAGACCAGGAGTGTAGCTTAGTGGTAGAATTCTTGCAAAAAAGCAAACATGCCAAAAAGCCCTTTATTTCATTCAGAGCAAACACACACACACACACACACACACACACACACACACACACACACACATGGTGGGGGAGGGAGAGACTTTTTCAAAGTGAAAAATTATACAGAGATTTTTTTCTCTCTCTCCCTCCTTCTGTTCTAATGCCTCACTGAAGATTGAACCACCTTTTTTTTTTTTTTTTTTTTGAGACTCGATCCTCCTTGCTCTAGCCTAGGCAGCCTTTGAACTTAGGATCTTTGTGCCCAGCCTTTCAAGTAGCTGGGTCTGTAGGCATGCACCAATCAAGCCCAGGCAAAGTTAAGAATTTCTGAAATCTTTTCATTCCAGCCTAGAAGAAGGACCATGGAGATGATGCTCTGTACAAATCCAATCCAGCAGATTCACTCTCTGGCAATGAACAGGTACCTCTTTCACGAGAAGAGCTTGGTTGTACATAAATTATATAGAGAGTCCTGTTTGGGATTTGGAGTTTTAAATATGCTTATAATTTCTTTAGATGTGATTATTGTGACCATAACTAAAATAGTTTAGTGGGTATCTGGGAATAAGCTTCTCTCAAAGTTTCATGTAAGATGGAAATCCCACCCTTAGCAGTGAACGGGGAAATGGTTTTAGGTGTTCCCAGGGTGGTGAGGGATAGTCAAAGACCTGTTGTTCCTGGGTTGGGGGCAGGAAGCCCAGTTGTGGAAGTGAGAATGGAATCTTTTAGGGAGTGAGGATTTGCATTTCCAGGAGCAGGGCGGGCTGTACAGTGGGATAGTCTGGCTCCAACTTGAGCCCACTCACAGGATGTCAGGGGAAGTGTGTCTAAGGTCATGGCCACGCCACGTGGCAGACCAGCTGGATTCAAAGCAGGAGCCTCTGGCCACACATCCTGAGTTTCCATGGTCTAATATAGAAGGATTGAAAGAGGGTGGATGCAGGATGCTGGCATGGGCTGTACAGTGCATGGGCAGTAAGTCTTAAGTGGCAGTGGGTGGAGATCATAGCATTTCATCTCCTTTCCTTTGACACCTTTTAAAGATACAACCTACAGTATCCAGAGTCTTATGCCAGTGTCTGCTTACAGGGCTCTTACAGAGATCTTTGATCTTTTGTGTTCTTAGGAGCAAAAGGGAAATTTTTATTTGGATACCATTTACAACAAGTGTGGAGATGTAAGTTTAGATTGAGAATTTGTCCTTTACTATTCAGCAGTTTTATTGGGGATGATTTAAAAAACCCTTGTGTAATTTTCAGATGTGGATGGCTGTACAGGATACAGTAGATTTTTTTTTAACTTTTCCTTAGAGAAGGGCTGTTCAGAATGTTTAGTGGGTTGAGTTTCAGAATTTCAGCAGCTTTATGGTGTCATGCAGTTTGACAGACTGAATTTGCACTTAGAGGAATGGAATGTATTTTTAATCATGGGAATTTATTGTGCCTAAGGAACATAGGAGAGAATGTCAGATTTCAACTGTAATTAATATTTCACTGGTGACCTCAACTCTACAGCAGCTAAACTTTACATTTAGGAAGCGCTAAAAATGGCTCAAGTCAAAGCCGAGTATAAAATGTGAAGGGTCTTAGAAAAATCAGTTTAGAGTTCTTACACTTCCTTTATGCATTTAGTATCTCAGAAAGATCTCCGGCCTACCTAAATTCTTAATTTTGAGAGAAAAATATATCATGAAAAACTATAAATGTTCAGTCTTTTATGGCTCCCCAATAAATTATACAATATGCTGGGAGGAATGAGGGAGAGGAGTGAGAATCACCATAGAAACTAGGGTAGGCGTTTCTAAGTACTGGGGGGGGGGGCATATGAGCTGCTATTATTAGGCATCCTTATTGAAGGTGCTGTATTTTTATGACTGCCTGGGAGTGTTCATTGAAGTGATAAAGACACTTGAAGCATTTATTTACTTCAGGTTCTTTCTAAAACTTAAGAATACCATTTCTTCTATTGAGAAAAATGCTAGAAGGTAGCAGTATGATCTTTAGTTGTATTATTTTGGACGTAATGCCATATTTGGAATTTATGAGTGTGCCTTGGAAATAGGTGCCTGGAAGACAAATCTCAAGGAATAGAAACTGAAGTTTACTATCATTAAGGATTTAGGCATGAGCTGCCTTTAAAAAAAAGTTTTTTTGGCTATGATGAACTTTTTCTCAAGCTGTTTTCCAGTCATCTGTTGGGTTTCTTCCACTTTGCCTAGAGCTCTTTGTCATGAGGTGATAATTAGCTAGTGACCAAGTCTGCATTCAGTATAATTTGCATGAGGTATGTAAAGGCCATTATTAAATTGCCTCCAAGCCTTGGATAACACAAAGCTCTAAAGAGATTGTTAGTGAGCATAAAAGCCAGTGAGATGGCAGAGACAGAACTATATCATACTATAAGGACACTGCTTTGTGAACATCACATGCCTTTACTATAGGCCAGTTGTTAAAAACATTTCCTTTAAAATGATTTATTTATCCATTTTTATGTGTGTATGCTCTTGTGATTTTATGGCACCTATAACTTATAGGGCTAAGGATGTAGTTCAGTGGTCAGACACTTGCCTAGAGTACACTATCCTTAGCAACACTATAGACACTTGCCTCAAAACCCACAAAAGCAAAACAAAGAACCAAATGGAAGAAAAAGAAAGAAAAGATACTGTACCTACACAGTAACACAACTTCATTGAATAGCTGTGTGTAATTTCAAGAGGCTCCAAAATCCCACGACAAGGTGCAGAGATGGCAAAATTTGAGAGTTGATAGCCTCGCTTGGTTCACTTTCTAAACCCACTCCTTGTTCTTGCTAAGCTTGCTTCAGTCTGTCTCTTCTCATAGTGGAGAATCCTCATAGGGCAATTTTCTTTCCTGCAGGGTAGCATGTCTTCTGTGATCCAGTAGACAGTGTTTTATGCCATTGTCCCTCTGGAGTTCCAGAAGATAACCTCAGAGGTGATGGGGACAAAAAGGGCTTGGGGCAAGCATATAATCTATTTCCAGTTTCTGCCTTCTCCTAAAATGTGATTCTGATTCTAATCTTCTTGATAGCTATGTTGGCAGCACCTTAGCTTTTCTTGCCCTCAAATTTTATAGTACTGTTGGTACTCTAAGGATATGTAACATTCCTCTTCTCTGTTTTTGTGATTTTCCTGAAAAGTTTTTATTCTAATTCTGGAAAATTCCAAGGTTACACATCCTATAGTCAGTAGTAGGGTTGAGTAGAGCTGGCATTTGGCCTGAGCATTCTGTGTTCTGAACCCCATTTGACTGTCCTTATCTGGGGTTAACTAATTCAGGTACCCCATCTTTGTATGTGTGTCCTTGATATTAACCTAAGAATTTGGAGGCTGCTTTTCATAGCCAATACCTGGAATATAGCATTCTTAAAGTCAAAAATGTTAATTTCATGTGCAGTACATTCTTTCTGGACCTCAAGATGCTTGGTTTGGAAAGATTTGATGTCCTCAGCTACCAAAACCTCTGCTCAGACTTTGTTGTATAGCTACAGATGGATCCTACCTGGTGCTTGCCAACTCTCTGGGAGGTACCCCTTAGTGCTATTCCTGCTTATTGGAGTCCTCAAGGTCATTCATGGAGACATGTTCAATCTCTAGTTCATGAGACAGATTTGAATAAGTCATGTACCTAGGTGTCTTCAAGTAATGTATGCTGCTTTGGTTGTTGTGTCTCTGAAGTAGTATTCAGTTTCAGTTATCAATGTGCTTTTGCTCAGAGTTTGTCTTTTTTAGTAAAGCTAAGCACCATTCACTGATTGCTCACAGCTCTGCTGACCACTTGCAGTTTAAGGTTTGCTAGATACTTCAGTCTATAGCCATAACCTATTAGATTATTCTGGGTTATATTACCAACAAAGCTTTTTGTGGCATTGCCTTATAAAACGTGCATTGAGGTTGTTGACTCCCTTTGGCCAGTGTGGCAGCAGCAACAATAAGCAGCCATACAGGAGATGAAATTACCTAAGTCTGAAGAGAGGGTCTTAAACAGACTTGTGATATAGAAGGTAGATGAGCTTGGAAGGAAACCAAACATGTACCAATATACCTCCAAGGCTGCTCTGACTTAACTTCTCATTTTGCCTTATCAGAGATGTAAAGAGTAGGCTCCTGCAATTGACCTGTCTGTGTTCACTCATCTCTTCTACTACCCACTTCTTCCTGAAGCCTCTGTTCCAAAGTTATCCCTCAGGGAAACCTGGAATGCCTCTCTGTCCTGTGCTCTGTAGGCCTCCCTCCTGCACATCCGCTGTCCTTGAGCAGAGTCCTGCTTTCCAGGATGTCTTTGCAACTACATTTTTTCTCGTCTCTCTTATTCCGTACTTAATGACTGATTATAAACACTTAAAATCTGTGGTGCCTCTGAAACTTGTGATTCCCACAACTTGACAAATGCTTGGCAGCCCCTGTACCCACCCTTGCTCCCACTCCAAATGTTTAGTGGATTAGGGAACAGAAAGTACCTAAACAGAGTGCTCAATCAAGGGCTCTTCTGTTTAGGGTACTTTTACCCCTTGAGTTAATATTTAGAACATCTGCATGGTGCATGTATGTGTGTGCAGGTACGTGTGCATGTGCCAGAGGATGGCCTTGTCACTTCTCCAGCACCATCCAATTTTTTGATGCAGGGACTCTTACTGGCATGTAGCTGTCTTAAGTAGACTAGGCTAGACCATGCTCATCGTGAGTCCTAGAGAGCCAGGTGTTCTGGCTTGCTCAGCACTGCGATTACCTATTGGTGCAACAATGCTTGACTTTCTTTACATGGGCTCTGAATGAATGTAGGCCCTGTGCTTGCAAATGAAGTACCTTTGAACTGAACCATCTACTCAGCTACAGAACCTTTTGTTTCCTTTGAGAGAGAAAGAGAGAGAATTAAATATGAATTGGAAATTTCTTTTAGGCTTTACAGTAGGCACAGAACAAGATGTGGCAAAATTGGGCTGGAGAATATTGTTTTTGTTACATAGGAAATTTGAGATTATGAGTTTGGAGAATGCTGATTGAAAAATAAGTCCTAGTAACTTGGAAGAGTCATTGAATTGAAGGCTGAGGATGTGGATAGCTAAGTCATCCAGTCTGAGAACAGATGTGGTTTATTTTATATAAACCCAGCATTAATAGATAGTTTATCTTGGTTAAGATTTATCGCTATTATTCAGGCAGATTTGCTGATAGGTAAACTCGGATATACAAATAAATTGTCATCTACAAAGAACTCATTACTAATTAAAATTTCCAAATTGAACAGTACAAAGAACCCAAGAAGCTTAAAAGCCTTGGCATATTCGAAGCTGTTTTGAAATAATTTATTAGAGACCCCATTAATGGTACTAGTACAAAATTACTATCCTATAAATAAAAATGAACTTTGGAAAAGCTAGCAATATGATAAAAGCACTG